TTTGATTATTAGTTTCTAAAAACTTTTGGTTGAGTTTGTTATATGCTACCCATAAGTTGACATCTTGATCCCAGCAATATGTTTTTTTTTTTTGGATATAAGAAACTTAATAAAGTTATTTTTGTATAGATTTTACTAAAACATTTTATGTCTCACATCATGTGGCTTTTTCCGAACATGAATTTCCCTTTGCTATGAGTGGTGCCAAACCCTTACAATAGTCTCTCCCATCATTGACTTTCATCTTTCTTATGTATAAGCTCCTTCCATGCTTCCCCCATCTTTAGCCATAGCTTCGCCTCTATTCTATGTCTTTGTGTCGCTATATACATTAACTTGTCCATAACAATTCACCTATTATGTTCAATAAACTATAAATTCGCCTATAGTTTCCAAGTCTAAAGGCACTTATGTGAACCCATCAACATGTTCATTTTCTCACATTTTCACATCGATAGCACATCCTATTGCATTTCAACTAGTCAACAAACATCTCACCCTCATCCGTTCTAAAATTGGAAATTCAAAACCAAAAACCTTTTTCACTACTATTATACTTCCTTTTAGCTCTGTAAACCTACTCTCAAGCAACTAAAACTATTGAATGATGAGATGCTTTGTTGGAAGAGATTAATGCCTTGCTTGCTAATGATACTTGAGAGTTAGTACTACCTCATAATTTATAAAATGTTATGGATTGTAATTGGGTGTGCTTGTACAAAACAACAAGTTGATAGCAATATTAAACGTTATAAGGCATGACTTGTTGCTTAGGACTTTCATCAATGGCCTAGTGTTGACTATATCGAGTCATTTTCTCCTGTCATTAAACCTATTATAGTATGTTTAATTCTCTCCTTAGCTATATCGAATAAATGGAATTTTAAACGATTGAATGTGTCCAATACCTTCTTTTATACACAAACTTGATGAAGGAGTGTTCATGGCTTAACTTTAGTGATTCTTTGATCCCAATTGAATAAATCATGTTTTCCGCCCTAAACATAATCTTCATGGTCCGAAATACCCACCTCACTCTTGGCATTAGTATCTTTTTGATGTATTGTTGGCATTTGATTTTATTAGTTCTAAGGATGATAGTTCATTATTTTACTATTAGCAAGGTGTTGTTGATGCTTACTACTAGGTATACATTGATAATATGTTACTTACTAATAATTCCTCTTTCTTTTCACACTTTATATTGTTGTATTACAGTAGCATTTCATACTAAAGTATCTTGGAGTTTGCACTAGTTTTTTGGTATTAAGGCTAACTAGATTGCTTAGGGTCTCCTCCTCACTCAACAAAAATATGTTGATGATATTCTATACTACAGTACATATAGACTAGTAATTGTATTGCTACTCCTATATGTTTAAATTTCAAACTTACCATGTCCGATGGTGACCTCTTCTTTGATCCATCTTATACCAAACTATAGTAGAAAGTCTTCCGTACGTTAAGCTCACTTGTCCGGATGTTTATTATGTTATGAATAAGATTTTGTAGTTCATGCATTGTCCGATTACTATTTATTGCCAAGTCGTCAAACATATTTTATGTTACTTGAATGCCACTCGAACATATGGTGTTCTTATCCAACATTCAAAGTCTATGCATATTTCTTCCTAAAATGATGTAGATTTGGCAAACACCATTATTGATAAAAAATCGGTAACATGTTTTTCCATTTTCATAGGTAATAATGTCATCACATAAAGCTCTCGCCAACCACATACAATGTCAAAGTCCTTATTGAGGCCGAGTATAATGTCTTGTCTATAATACCATCCGTGGTACTCTAGTTACAATCATTATTTAGTGAATTGTATCACTACAAAAAAAAAAAAAACCATTATGGAGGCGGAATGTTTGAGATGGTTAAGAAAATCACCTAATTTTATCTACTTATACGAACCTTATCCAAAAACAAATAAGAGGTGATTGATAAAACCGCCTCACTTCAACTAACCCATACTTTTTTTTTTTACTTTCCTTTTCTTTTCCTTTTAGAGTTTTGAAAAAAAAAACCGATTCATTATTTCACCCATCCCTTCCTTTTACGTATATGTTTTAGATCTATGTTTTTTCTTCTTATTAGAATTTGATTATTTCATAAGAAAAGCACATTCCAATTATGATTATTTTGGTTTTCTATTCTTCTTCTTCTTTTTCTTCAATCTATTACATTAAGGTTCTTCTTCTTCTTTTTCTTTTTCATTAATTCCAACTACACAAATTCAATATCGCTTTGAAAACTTCCCCTAAGTTTAGAGAGACTTCAAGTAGCAGGATGCATATCATTAGAAAGAGTGTCAATTTCATTCAAAACAAATTGAGATTATTTGTTATGGGGTGTCAAAATTTAATCGAGATTGAAGGCATGGCAAATATGAGAATAATTAAGCCATTTTCTTGGGAGACTCGCCATAATTTAGCATATACTTTTGAGGTAATCAATGTACTCGTAAAAATGGTTTATCTTGATTGTTTCATTTTTTTTTAGATCGTAATCGGCTTGTGATCGATGTTCTCTTTTTGTTTTTCTTTTGTATAGGTTCTTAAAATAGCAGTTATTTTTCTTTCACCTAGGTTTTTCTTTGCATTCTTGTTTCCATAATGTATTCTTTTTGGGCATTCGGATTTCAAACACTTGCTATAGATTTGATGACTTACATTTCTCCACACAAATGATACTCAAATGATGTGATTTTTTTATATCAAAAGTTATTGCTTATGTGTTTCTTCCAACTTGCTACTTATATTTCCTTTGCTTTGAATTACTACCATTGTATAATTCCCGGCAATTATAGGGATCACCTTGAAAGTTGACCTTTGTAAAACGAGATGATGCTTTTTTTTGTGTGTTAGAGTTTAGGTATGGTTTTCACACATGGTATATGTAACATTAACAATTCATCAACTTGTGGATGCTTGAAAGAGTTTGAGCCAAAATCCCTAAAAGATTGGACAACAGCAGATTGGTCTCAAGCATGTGTTCGAAAGGTCTCATTGGATTGCAATAATGGTGAATGATTTCTAAAATATACTAGGATCAAAGTGCCGGACACTGCAACACTCTTGGTATAACAAAACAATGAACCTTGAAGAATGTAAAAAAGGTCTGTTTGAAGAATTGTTCTAGTACTACTTATGCGAATTTGGATATTAGAGATAGAGGTAGTGGATGTGCACCGTGGTTTGGTGACTTGATCGATATCGGGATATACAACAAAAATGGGCAAGATATTTATATAAGGATGGTTGTTTCTGTAATAGGTATGAGTTTAATTTGTTTTTTTTTTTCATTCCATAATCATAGTATCATTCTACACTAGATTTAAAGTTAGAATATCTAAAATGGATAACCCAACTTAAAATGTTAATGCAAGTCATAATAGTACCAAGTATACATTGAGTCTCTAGAAGATATAAGATATGAATGTGGTCCGATTTATGCTAGTTTTGTATATCATGTTTTATTCATGTTAATGCTATTTTTCTTCATACTTCCTAAGTTTTTTTCAATTCACTTTAACAAGGTAGCAAGTAAAGAGTTTACTTGTTTTTCTTTAAAAAAAGAAAAGTTCTATCGTTGTCTTATTCTTTAGAACAATAATGGCCCATTAGAATAACACTAGATGTAAAATCATAATCAATAAGATGATAGTTATAGGTTTGAAAATGAGAACAAGAGTAAATGCAATCTTGATACTCGTGGAGGCTATTTAATCTTGATACTCTATGGAGGCTATTTTGCGGGGATACACCGTGGTCTACATTTTCATGCCGACTTTTATGATCCTCGGGATTCGTTTTTATGTCATTTCTTAATGGGGCTCTTTTTGGAGATTTAAAGGTGTAGTTTTGGTGGTGTTCATTGCCATTACTAGTGCTTCTTGCTATTTTCAGTCAAAACTAATTGAGTAGCCTCTTGTTTTCATTCTTGGGCTTGAAAAACTTAGTTTTTCTAGGAGCGAGTGAATCTTAACTCCCGAGTCCTACCTAACCTTTGTTTATGTTTCTTGAAAAATTGGATAAAAGTTGTTTCTTTTCACTCTCAAGTGGCTAGAAGAAGAGGAGGATTTGAACTATATGCTTTTCTTAAGACCGACCCCAACTTGACCAAATACATTTATTAATGTTGGTTCACCAATAGTTGATGTTCTTGATCATATTTTCTTCTTGGCAACCTTGATTGGACTTATTCCTGCTCGCTTATGTCACTCGTTAAGGTATTTTACTTGTGCCTTCATCTGCGTGAAGCCATGTTTAAAATTAACTACAATATGGTGTTACTCATCCTTTTTGAAAGAAAAATAGAGTATTGTTTTTCATAAATTCTTGATGCTATATGGAAAACATACATAATATAATCACGTTCTTACTCCAAATGCCAAAATTTTCAACTAAAAACCATTTTGCACTCTTGATGCTCGAAATATTTAGCTCGAGCCGATCTCGACTTGACTCTTCGGATACTCGTCTTATGCCTTTTCTACTACCCAACATTGTTTTGGATTGGTTCTTAGTTCTTGTATGTGAATTGTGATCCTAAGACATTGTCTTTGGTAGAAAAAGTCAGCTAGATAAGGCAAAGTTATTAATGAGATACTATAAAACTTTAGACTCAACTTAGTCAAACATATATATATATATATATATATATATATATATATCAAGTGCCTCATAATGTTGTAATTTTGTTGTTGTCATACCTCCCGAATCTTTTCTCTTGTATGCTGCTATTGTCATAGCAAGAGTTGTGTGATTATCATCTATGTTATACCCCACAATGGGTAGACTCATGATATGGTCTATATTTCAATTTGTTTGCTTATGGCTCATTATCGGTATGTATCGGTTGTTATCCTCTTCTTGAATCTGAATTTTTATGAACTTCACTATATTTATCTATTTGTTTATTGGTTCATTGGTGTGCACATATGTACAAGTATAACACTATTGTTAAAGTTATATTTCCTACATCGTAATAGGTCATAAGGGTCAAAGCACTTGGAATTCGTTGTGAAGTCGACGTTCTCAAGAATGAATCGGTAAATATACCCCCGAATATGGGCATTTACCTTGGTTGTCCTTGCCTATGTAATCACTTAAATCAATTGCTTAAACAAGGTAATGCATTTATTAGGAGCTTCTCCCATGTAATTTAAAAGAATAAACACCATTTACCTTGAAATGTTGATTGTGGAAAATTAAAATAAAAACTCTCTCTATTCTTTTTTTTTTTTTTTAATTTCTTCTCCATAAATGTGGTTTTATAAAGGGCCTATTGGTTGGTGCAATGACAATGGTCTTGGGCTCGTAACTATAAGGTTGCAAGTTTAAATCTTGAGATTAGCTATTTTATGCAAAATTCTAGAGGAATGCTTCATATTCTCCCATGTAGGACTTGCTTCAGTGGGAAGATAACTGGGTGTCTTTTGGTGGATAATTTTTTATTGTTACTCTTTGAATTGCACGCTCTTGATACATTCAATTCAGTAGTAGTGTCTCCCATATATTATGTGATATTTACTTCATTAATAATTTTGGCCAATGTAATCATGTTTAAGGTAACCTTTTTGTTAACCGACTATACATATGTATATGTTAATATCTAGACATATAAGTATGTGTTATGTTATAGATGGAAAGATTTCATGCTAGCTTCACCTTAAGTGATGATGACTATAGAAACCGAAGCATTTTTCAAATGATAATGAAACATTACTACAAATAGGTTGCATTGATGCTCTCAAAATACAAATGAAACAATTAATTTTTAGTATGTGTGTTCTTTGTATTTTTCTCTCTTTGAAGTTTGAAGTACTTTTTTTTTTTTTTCGTCCGCACTCATCTCATTTCCAACATTAATTAGTCTTATCTGTTTATGACACTAGCTTAGTCTTTAGTACCTATTGCTCTTGTTACTACTGCTCGCTTCGATGGTTCCCTAACTTCGACCAAGGAAGAGCTCGCCAAAGAGTCTAATAAAGACTTGGGTTTCAACCTCTTTGACTAAGTTTTGTGTTGCTTGTTTATCTAGGATTTTAAATGTTGTGGTGAATATATTTAAGCTTTTTATTAGTTTGTTACCCATTGCTTGTATTACGTTATGGATAGGGTATTGTATTTTAGGTTCTTACTAGTTTATTATCTACAATATGCTACACAATAAAGAAAAGATGCAGCTATTATTTAAAAGATATTTATTTGCATTTAATAAGGTGTAATTTTTTTAATTTATTTATTTTTTTGATAAAAAAATGGAGTAAATTATTGAATTTAAAGGTGAAATAAAACTATAATACTAAAAGCGGTTACACAACCACCCCTATAAATTCTAAAATTTGAAGGTATCGTAACGATTCTAAACATTTCGCGTTAAATTTTTAAAAAATTTAGGAACATGAGGCGATTACCAACTATCGCATAAATTGCACATCAAAAAATTAAAAAAAAGAAGAAGACATAATTGGCATTGTAGAGGCGGTTTCAATCGCCTCAAAACAACCTCCTTCAATTTTTGACGGTTGCAAAACGCGCTCTACAATGTAGAAACGACGGCATTATAGAAGGTTTTGAGGCGAGTTCATAAAATCACCCTTAAACTTTGTAGAGCGAGTTATAACTACTTCTATAGGAGAAAAAAACCACCTCCAATGACCTTTTTTGGTGTAGTATATTTATTATTTATTGTGGTTTTAATTTTATGGTGTGACAATTTGAGTGCTATATATTTGACACATAATCTTGTTTTTCACTCTTAATCCAAGCATTTGAAAATTGATTTTTTATTTTGTTTATGATCATATGAGGAAAGAAAATTTGTTAGTTCGTTATATCTCACTAAGGATCAAATAGCTGATTGTCTTACTAAGGCTCTTTTATGATAATGATTTCAATTTTTTCGTGATAAGTTGACGGTTCAAGCTCAACTTGAGAGAGGGTGATAGAATAATAGGATAAACATGTGATAGGATGATATACTATGCATGTAAATAAAATAGATTTTTGTTATGTTTATCTCTATGTGTATTTGTGATGGTTATCAAGTTCAATTGTATATATTCTATAGCCTATTTATACACTAATATACAAAACGCATAAATAAATGGCATTCACTAACCCTAACACTTTCTACAAAATTTAGTATTATCTCTTTTGCAACATGCCATAAAATTTTTTGACTAAGCAAGTAAATAAAGTTATCATATAGACATGGTTAATGGTTGCAGGGATCTTTTTATTTTTGATTTTTTTTAATGTCTATTTATTCTTTTTTCGTTTTAATCTTATCCTTTTATGTTTAGTTTTTGTCTTAATTATGTCATTTCATTAGCATTTTGGGCCAACAGTGTAAAATCTCAATGTTAATGCTACGAGATTGCGACACTTTAACTTAGAATTAAATTAGGGCTAAATGAATTGAGGGTTTTTGGGTATTTATATAGTCCTTGTTTTAGTTATTTATTTATTTTTCACAATTCTTTCATTTAAATTTGGTAAAAAAAAAAAAAAATTTGATATGTATCGTAATCCTATACTGCTAAGGATAAGATTTAACACCATTAGTACAAAATATTAACCAAAAGACATAATTAAAATATAAATCAAATGTAAAAAAAAAAAAAAAAAAAAAAAAAACGAGATTAAAAAAAGAAAAAAAGAATAAATGGATATTATAAAAATAGAAGCAATAGTGGAAGGACCGTCTGACCATTAACCAGAACAAGATAGGAAGAAAGAAATTTGGATGCAGTAGCTAAGTTATGTGGGGCCTTCTTGGGCTCGTTTCCTATCTGAAATTCTATAAATAGCTCCTCTAGAAACCAGCAGCTACTCATCAATGATCTCTCCTAATGGATTCCACTTCTTCCAGTCTTCTCTTGTGCTCTCCTCCATTTCATACAAACGATGAAACTGGGGCTTTTGTTTTTGACTCATCTTTCTTGCAAAAAGAAGCCAGCTTGCCCACAGCGTTCATTTGGCCAAATGGAGACTTAGTTCGCAACCAAGATGAGCTTAAAGAGCCACTGATCGACTTGGAAGGATTCCTGAAGGGTGATGAGGTTGCAACTGCTCAAGCTGCTGAGCTTGTTAGGACTGCTTGCTTGAACCACGGCTTCTTTCAAGTCACCAACCATGGTGTCGATATAAGTCTCATTCATGCTGCTCATGAAGGGATTGATAAAATTTTTAAGCTGCCTCTTGACAAGAAACTCAGTGTGCTTAGAAAGCCAGGGGACGTGAGTGGATATTCTGGTGCCCATGCACATCGATATTCATCCAAGTTGCCATGGAAGGAGACATTTTCTTTTGGCTACCATGGGGATGACGATTCTGAGCCACTTGTTGTTGACTACTTCAAATCTGTCGTAGGAGAAGATTTTCAACAGACAGGGTAAGATAGCGTCGTAAGTTGCCGTGCTACCATCTTGTCTCTTTGATGGTAATAATCTTGAAGTGACTTTTTTTGTTGATTAGTTCACAAGTCTATCTGGCCTACTATGACTGAGGTAGTTTTCTTGCTGTCCTAATATTGCCATTCAAGAATTTTACAAGTTTTTTACCAAAGAAAGAAAACAGAAGGAAAAAAACTAAATTTTACTAATTTAGATTGTCCACCCAAGTTTGGAGGATTCAACACTACGTACCGTGCAACTTATTAATAAATTTTGGTCCAAACTTTTTCCGGAACAAATGTTACCATTTACTTAGACAACTAGCAGAATTACAATTGGAATACCTTAGCAATTATTGTTTTTATTCTCTATTTATGTAAAAAATTGATTAAAAAATTATTCTATTATATATATATATATAAGGAAGGCTCCTACGAGTTCATGATCTGATAAATTAAAATAAAACTCCATCTTTCTCATTTTTTTTTAAATAACACTGACCCTAAAAATTGAGAAACATTAATTTAGAAAAGATTAGAATTAATCTTTTGAAATAACGAAAACTAGTAATTCTAGCTAAGCAACAATTCATTATTGTTTTCTTCTTTTTTAAATCACGGGTAATATCTCACATGAAAATTGCTTTTTGAAGGTGGGTTTACCAAAGATACTGTGAAGCAATGAAGAAAGTATCTCTATTGATTTTTGAGCTGCTCGCCATTAGCTTGGGAGTTGATCGTTTACACTATCGGAAGTTCTTTGAAGATGGTAGCTCCATAATGAGGTGCAACTATTATCCACCTTGCAATAATTCTACTCTTACTCTTGGCACTGGTCCTCATTGTGACCCAACTTCCTTAACAATACTTCATCAAGACCAAGTTGGTGGTCTTGAAGTCTTTGCAAACAACAAATGGCAAACAATCCAACCTCGTCCAGAAGCCCTGGTTGTAAACATCGGTGATACCTTTATGGTAAGTTAATAATATCTTACGATTTTAATTGCAGCATTTTTTTTTTTAATATTTATCACAAGTCCATAATTATATATAATGCAACATCAGCTATCTTTTCCTAAAATACCAACTCGACCCTTTTTTATTTTGAGGACTAATCAGTCATTGCAAATGAATTGGATTCAAGTTTATTAGAATGTAATATAAAATTATATTTTTATAGTTTAATTTTTTTTGAATTGAAGTGGTTTTTTTATATGGTATTTAAGATGTATTAATCAAATGGACTAGGAATTTGAATTTTATTTTTTTCTTTCTATCACTATCTTTAAAAACTCATATTAAAAAAATAATATAAAATCATTTTTTTTGTCCTATTGAAATGTCTTTTTTTTTTTTTCCTTCAATTAGCAATAGATTATGACGACTAGCCTCGGTAGTTAGAAAATGTCACGTTGGAAAAGTAGGTCATGTCTTGATCAATTATTTCTCTTTAGATTAAGACATTTGATTTTTGACAAAAATTAGTTAGCATCACCACAATTTTTTTTTAAAACAAAAAGAGATAAAATTGCAGAGTAACAATAACATTAAGCTTGTCAACTCAAAATTGCTTCGAGATCCACCCGAATCCATGGCCATCATCTCTTGAAAGAAGTAAAAAGTTTATTTGAGGTCATAAGAATAGTATTACGAGTGGCTTCATTGACTTCTACCATAATAGACAACGCTTGTGGGTTTCAAATGTTCCTGTCTTTATGTATGCATCAGGTACATTTTTGAACCCATGTAACATACACACGTGTTATTCGATGAGGTCGTACGTGAAATCATTGATGTCATTTGCTTGTTTGATATGTAGGCATTATCTAATGGGAGATACAAAAGTTGCCTTCATAGAGCAGTGGTAAATAGGCACAGAGAGAGAAGATCATTGGTTTTCTTTGTGAGTCCAAAAGAGGAAAAAGTAGTGAGACCCCCGCAAGATCTTGTTTGCAGAGAAGGGCCAAGGAAGTACCCGGATTTCACATGGTCGGATTTGTTGGAGTTTACGCAAAAGCACTACAGAGCTGATGTCGCCACTCTCCACAGCTTCATTCAATGGCTTTTATCTTCTAAACCATCTACCTTTTAGTTGCTTTGGATGCTTTTGATCATTGCTTGCCTTATGTATAATATATTTTAGCTAACATAGCTATGGCATATTTTCTCAAGGGGGTACGCCAGGTTTCCACCAGCTTTTGCGTAGCTTTCTTAATTTAGTTGCCAGAAAAATCGAGTGGCGCCGGTGTTCTACCTATTCGTGCATCAAAAATTTTGTTTCGTATTCCAATAACTATTCCTTTTCTCTCCACAGACATCTAGGCTCGGACAAGATAACGAGGCTAACCTGTAAAAAAAAACTGGCGTCAATCCTTCAATTAAAATGTTAGGAATAGGGATGACAATAAGCATAAAACGGATACTCTTTTATCCCACTTGATAAATATTTATTAAATATGTTCGACACGCATTGAAGCAAGTAAGGATATATATATATATATATGATTTCAGGATATGGATATCCATTTTTTACTTTATTAATGCATACTAATTTATTTATATTTTTTTTATTAACATGTAGAGATCTAATTGCATAAAATTTAAAAAATTAAGGATCAAAGTATTTTTTAAAAAAACTTTAAGGACATAAAAAAAACTTATAAATAAATGATCAAAATGCAAAAAATAACAATAATAATAATAATAATAAATAAATAAAAATAAAATTTAAGGCTCAAAAAACTTTTCTTAAAAATTATAGGGACTAAAATAAATTTTTTGGATAAATTATATTTAACAGGTATTTAATGGGTATTAAAGCTTTATATGGTGACTTCTTCATGAGTAATGTGTAAGATATTTTTTTTTGATGGGTAGAGCAAACAATTGAATCAATGAATTAGGTACCCACCTATTGCTATCCCTAGTTTGGAAAGCTACTTGAATGGACTTCCAAAAATTTGGCTAATTAAAAATTATTTGAGTTTGTTATTTACTAGCTAAGTGAGTTAAACCACATTTTGAGGTCGTTACCTAATATTAAATGAACTATGAAACCTAAAAATGACACTCGGTTCTAATATTTTAGAATAAGGAGTTGGTTATATATTTGCGAATGTATCAATCATCCAAAGACATCCTTTTTGAAAAAATGTACCACGTTTGGTTTAATCTTAAAATTTATCTCCTAAAAATTCTATTATTACCAAAATTAATCCTAAGTAAAAATTTCAAAATTTATTTCCTTAGTCAATTGATTTTTTTTTTTTTTGGCATCATATTGAATCGATCGTTAGACCTCGTCATTGAAAGTCTCATCAATTCAACATTAGATCCAATTTAAATCTCGTCATAGTCGATATATCAAAGAAAAACCTAGTTACTTAAATGTGATTGATATGAATTAACATTAGTCCCTATTAGATACTTCACTTGTTAATTTTCACCTAACATTTCTCTCTATTTCCTCTTGTTATTTTCCATTTCTTTTTCTTTGTTTCTTTCCATGTCGTTTTTTTAACAATTTTTTATTTTTTTTCAAAGTTGATGAAAAATTATCATCGATCCCTAAAAAAAAAAAAATTGATTTGACGATTTGTCCACCCATTAATTGCCTAATTTAACTAAGGGTTATTTAAGGCATATTTAATATTAAATAAAATATGAAAATTAAATTAATAATCCCTACACATTTATCCGAGTCTAAAATCTAACCACAAATTTCAGATTTAATTAATACTAAGTATTAAACGGACATGAAATTTAATTACCGAAATAAATTAAAGGCTAAGTATTAAACTAAATAAATCAAAATAAATAAGAAAAAAGAATCCAAAAATTCAAAAAAAAAAAAAATCTAGACCAGGAATGAAAATAAGAGGCATGTATTAAAATTTCATATTTAATTTACGTAGGGAAACAACTAAAAGAATGGAGAGTGATAAAAATAAGGGTTATTGAACCTTTGGGCCTACTAGGGAAGCCTACCTAGCCCACTTCTTCCTTCGCACGGGTTAGGCATAATCTTTAACTTCTTCAACAACCCAACCCCAAAAATAATAGCCCGACCTTTTAATCTTTAACTTCTTCAATAGAGCCGACTCTAAAAACAAAATATAAAAAATATCAAACAATCAAGCATTTCATTTTCCTACCAATTCCTCTTCTTCCCTAAACTAGTTCCCCGCATCTAGACCCATCACCAATCATACAATCTCATATCCTTCATCTCCTACAAGAAACCATAAGCCATCTCTTCCTTCATTTTTCCTTTAATTTTCAAACAAGTTAATACCTTATCAAAGCATCCCGATCTCCTCTCCTTCGTCAAACTAGAAACCATAGGTTTTATCTCCTTCCTCAATCTCGTCCATATCCTAAATTAAAACCCAAAACCAAAATAGACTAAATCCTAAAATCAAATTGTTTCAAGCCACCAAACCCTTTTCTCTCCTTCTCCCCACAAACTTAAACATACACAAAGAAAATTTAGGGTAGAAAAAGGTTTGCATGATGACAATGATGAAATCATTATCATGTCTCTTTTTTTTTTTTTTGGCTTAATTGACAACCAATTGAGGCTAAAAATCAAAGAAAGAAGCAAAAATTCTTACTTAGATGTGCAAATGATGGAGCCTAGCTTGAAGGGAATGACAAGTAGTGGACAATTCCTACTTTGAGAGGTGATAGTGTGTTCTTTCCAAAGCCCAAATACAACCAAGTAACCTAAAGATCTCTCCTAAGAAACCATAAGCTCATTTGCCCCCATAGAAACCCTAAAAATTTCCTCCTTCAAAAACCCAATAAGAACCATATGTTTCTTAACTAAGCCTCTCTTGAAATTCTTTCTACCTCTTATACCTGAATGTAATGAGGATTTCAAAATCCTTTTGCACGAGAGAACCAATAGGAACCTTAGCCTTTCTCCCTAAAATTCCCTATAACTCCTCTCTCTACCTTTTTTTTTTTTCTCTAAATTCTATTTTCCTTTTTCCTTTGAATTTTTACACACTTACTTTCTCTCCCTTTTTTCTCTACATTCTATCGACCTTTTTCCTCCGAAATTTCCCATAATTTCTTTCTCTCACCCATTTTCTCTAAATTCTATTTGCTTTTTTCTCCGAAATTTCCAATAATTATGTTCTCTCCGAAAAGTCTTCTATCTTCAACATTGGGATCAATTGCCTCAAATCTAAACTCCCTCATAATATAAAAAACTCTCCAAGCTTGTGAATTTTGGCTCTATATGAACAAAGACTAAATGTATGTTTTATGTCTATTTATGAGCTTTGCTCGTATGTTTTTTGTTATGCAAATTGTTTCGAGTGCGAAGCTTATAGTTACGAGTCGTGGTTGGTCCCTTTAGCTAGTTGTCTTCATTAATGAAGATGAAGCTGTGCCAAAGGATGGTGAAGTACAAGAGCGGATGTGTTGGGATGTTGCTAGAAAGACTCGAACAATTAGTCATTCGGGTGATTCCGGATTGGTCTTGTCGTTCGTGTCCTGTGTCAATTTTGATCCTTGTAGGTTAAGTCCGTTTTTAATTGTATCGTTTAGGCATGTCATTATAGTCCCTATGGCTTTAATTTTATTTTTTAATTGGGACCTTGTATCTTTCAATTTCAATTCCCGGTTTTGAATCATTTCAATTATGTCCTTAATCGTCTCTAATTGCATTTAATTTTCATTCAACTGTACCTTTGGACTAAAAATAAAAAATACACCTAAATGAAAGGATAAAATAAGATAAATAAATAAATAAATAAATAAGCAATAAATTAGATAAATAAATAAATAAATAATAAAAAGACAAGACATGATAAATTAAAATGATAAAATTGATTTGATTTTTTTTCTTTTTTATTTTTTCTTATGAAATAAAAAGAATAAAATTAAATTTATAAAATAGCATAAAATATGAAAATAGCCAAAAAACTACTAAAAACAAATAACCCAAATTTTGGATTATGATAGTTGTCTCTTCTTTACAATGCTTATAGTGTAAATACCAACTCGAAATACGAACTTTAGATTGGGTTTGCATAGTGAGCTTATAAAGAGGTGAAAGGTGGCTTGTCTTGAAAAATAAAATATGATAGCCTCATTATGAAGGATAACTTGCCCCGAAAACTAAAATATCATGATCGCTAGACCATCTTACCTAAAATGATGAATTGGATTACGCAACCTTGTCCGAGAGGAAAAGTGATCGCTAAGAAACCATGCCTAAAACAACAAATTAAGTTATGCAAGTTTGTCTAAAATAAAAATTATCACTATTTCCTAAAATGATGGACTAAGTTAGGTGACCTTGCCTAAATATGAGAATTATCGTTAGGTGACCTTGCCTAAATATGAGAATTATCGTTAGGTAATCTTGCCTAAAATACAAAACTAATTTTGGTGACCTTACCCGAACTAAGAATAATCTCTAAGTAAATTTTTCTAAAATGATGAACTAAGTCGAGTGACCCCACTCGAACATGAGAATTATCACCAAACAACCTTACCCTAAAATAAAAAATTAAGTTAGGTAGCCTTGCTTGATATGAGAATTATTCAAATTGGTTTTGTATAGTGAGCTTATAAAGAAGACATAAATTGAGTGGTGAAAACTATATACTAAATTGAAAGTAAAATATGATAGTCTCATTATGAGTGGTGGCTTACCTTGAAAAGTAAAATACGATGATCGCTATGACATCCACCTAAAATGATGAACTAGGTTAGGTAACCTTGCACGATATGGAAAGTGAATGCTAGCTAACCTTACCTAAGATGACAAACTAAGTTAAACGAACCTTGCTTGAAATGAAAATTATCACTTACCAACCTTGCCTAAAATGATAGACTAAGTTAGGTGACCTCGCTTGAATATGAGAATTACCATTAGGCAACCTTGCAAAAATAACGAACTAAGTTAGGTGACGTCGTATGAACTAAGAGTTATTGCTAAACAACCTTACTTAAAATGATAAACCAAGTTAGGCGGTCACAAAATTAGTTTGGCAACCTTACCTAAAATGACGAACTAAGTTCGGCAATCCTACCTAATATGAGAATTATTACTAAGAAACCTTACCTAAAATGACA